TCCGTCGCGGTAAGTGCGGCATTCAGAACGCCTACTAGACGAGAGCCAGAAGCACGGGTGTCACGAGCGAAGACCACCCGAGCAGGGTTGGTCATCTTCACATCGATTTCCTTGACGAGTTCGTCGTAGACATCGGCGATCTTATCCAATGGGGCATTTGCCAGTTTTGTCGCGTATGCCTCCCACTCGGCCTAGTTATGACAGTGAGCACGTTATTCCAAATTCGGTCGTGTGAACGCAGGCCAATCTTACTTCAAGCATCTCGCCCTAAAGAGAAAATAAAGGTTAGACTTGTCCTGATGGGCTGGTAGTATGGTAGGGATCAATGGCTAAAACTCACCATGGGGTCAACCAACTTAACACCATTGTCCTCCGCGGGGTTGTGGCTTGCAGTAACCATAACACCAATCCATTGTCCGCTAAGTTTCTTTGAGCGCAGGCTTGCAAGCAAGCCCACTGCAAAAACAACGGTGTTGAGGAGGTCGCTGCGCAGCCATATGGGTCAGAACAAATCGACGTCAACAAAAGACGATCGCGGGGGTTCAGAGGATGCGGAGGCGGGGTGGATCAGCCATATTTGAAGAAACTTACGCTTTCATGCGAAACTGTAATGGACAGAGAAGTTAGCCGACCTCTGTAGTAGAGCGTTCATCAATGCGACATACCCCTGCTGTGCCATACTCAAATACCTTGCCCTCGGGCTTTGTGTACTGCAATGCCGCCTCGGTGATCGCTTTTTTGACAGCCGGAGAGGCCATGGCGAAAATATGCGATTAGTTATAAAGTACCTTAAGGAGTTTCAAGAGAGGTACTCTAAAGCTTCAGGTAAAGTCGAGGTCGAAAAGGAGAGGAGTACTTGAAACAAAAAAAAAAGCGGCTGAGGGGTTTGGAGGTTTGAGACACGGCTTATTGCGACGGCCTTAGCGGTCAGAGAATGGCGGGGAACACAGATCAGGACACAATAGGAGACGTGGCAATAACATATTTACCCGCATTAATCACCGTGGAAATTAACTGCAACGGTAAACACCCTAGTGGGGAGCACCCCCGATCTTCATTACAGCTACCTCCCACGTCTAAGCTACAGTCAAGTATGACATATGAACATGTCTATGATATCCTGGGTATGGTTAGGTATAAATATCGCCAAATTTTGCCCAAATTTTGATCCTCTTTACGCCTTTAGCCTGTGCGCCGCAATATCGTCCTGTGTGTCCCTGATCAGGAACCTGTCGGGTGCGACCGATGCATTAGTCATGGGAATATATTTGGGAATATATTAAGTCGTACGATCGGGGAGGACTTACGAGTACCACCATACAGCGGGGACCACTGTACCCAGATGCCAGAGGCTGTGTGCGTCAATTAACCCGTTCCAAGGAGGGAAATCGAGTAACTCCAAACTCATAGCCAGGATTATCCACGCCACAATCATACCAGGCCAGGCAGTCCAAGACTTCGAAAGTTTTTGGTATCGGAAGATACTGAAACCGGTCCACATGACGTTCTGGATAATACCAACCACCACGTTCGCTATCATGTTGTAGGTGTAGTTCCAGGACCAGAAGGTAAGATAACACACGTGCAATGTATATAGCAGAACACAAATAGCGGTCCAAAGTCGACGCAGGGTTGGCCGGTACGGGGTATTCTCAAGGTCCAGGCGGAAGATTCGAACGACGGCAAGGTAGAGACCATACAGCACGTTGGCGCCAGCGCCCCAGTAGTCCAGCTTCTCGGTCAGGGGGAAATCGCGCATGTGGAATATCATGCTGAAACTCCAGCTTGCAAGCCCAATGTATCCAAACATCATGTAGTATGGGCGCAGCGAGTGCCAGGTGGGGACCGACTCCTGGATACGGGACAAGCCGTGCCAGTGCGCGGCGAAGTTGAAGAAGGAGAAGAGGACCGAGAAGGGCTCCTGCATCCCTAGGAGCCTACGGAACGGCCATTTCCCGTGGAATTGTACAATTGGGCTGATCATTGGAGGATCACGCGAGACGCGACGGTCGGTAATGACATGTTGGCAAGTGTAGTCACATTCAGCAGGGCAGTTCCATAGTAGTAAGCGGTGGTGCAGAGCTAAAGAGGTCAGCAAAGGGGAAACGCGGAGAACAGTTGGAATAATGATTTCACATACGGAGCACTGAATTGCCATTCTGACAATTTTCTGTTTTACAGATCTATGGCTGTTAGTTGTTTCCAAGGGTCTGTTGTTCACCGAGGCGTACCTGGACACATTCTTTGAAGTCGGGGAGGTGGTCTCCTAATGACGCGTCGGACTTGCCAATGAGCGAGGCTAAAAAAACGAAAGCGAAAAGAGTGTAGAGATTCACTCTTCCTACACCTAAATTCATTGTGGCCCGAAAGTTTAGTTCCGAGGTCCCAGACGTTCAACGCGTAAGCTTGGGGAAGAATGACAGGTTGGAGCGGAGCTCCCGGCGGCATCAAAGAGCCTCCCTCGGTAGTCTTGGCAACCAAACAGTTCTTTCTTTACCCCACAACGCCATTGATGTACTTTGTACACTTCGACAATTGAAGTGGAATTGAATTTATTTAGCATACTTGTCATGGGGCGTTATTGCTTGGGGATCTTGCCAGCTCACTCCAAAGGACAGATATGGTTAATAGCGCAATTCAATGTTGACCTATTCTAAACATCAAATGTCATCAATGGGTGCTTGCTATCCTTGGGTAAGTGCTATTCACCACACAGATACTACCCACATATGATGCAGGTACACCATATTATCCCTAGAACTTCCCAGTTGTACAACTATGCCACGCAGATAGCCCTATATAAATGAGGGCAAGTCCCATCACGTGTGTACACACGTGACCCCCGAATACAGCTAGCGCGGGCGGGGATTGGAGTTAAGCTTGGCGGGCGGGCAAATAATCCAGAAAAAAAAAAGTTGAGGATCGATCTCTGTTGGACTTTTTATCTTTAACATCCTTCCCATTTATTTTTTTACTCTTTCATTTTCTTCCTTTTCGGCCCGTTCTTCTTTTCCGCACAGTCAAGATGGATACCGAATCCGATAACCCTCAGGGGATCACCAGCAGTGCTGATCGCATGGTTGGCATGGAGCACTCTGAAGTCCGCTACTTCACTAGGTACGTTATTCTTCCATTGGGTCTCTCTCGGATGTTGATGCTAATAAATTCATAGCTACGACCACCATGGTAAATGATCTTGATCCATGATAGCAAATTTTCAGTGTGGTTTTGACTAATGATATTTTTTTGGGTTGCCACAGGTATCCACGAGGAGATGCTTGTAAGTACAATTTACTGGCTAATTGGCTATTTACGGTGCTCTAACATTCATTTTCTGCCTTGTAGAAAGATGATGTCCGCACACGCTCCTACCGCGACTCCATCTACCAGAACCGCCACATCTTCAAGGACAAGGTCGTCCTTGATGTCGGCTGTGGAACTGGTATTCTGAGCATGTATGTATCCGGATAATAATCCTGTGATTCTGGATCTCTTGTTGATTGTTTTTTTTTAAACAGGTTTGCTGCCCGTGCTGGCGCAAAGCACGTCATTGGTGTCGATATGTCCTCCATCATTGAGAAGGCCCGTCAGATTGTCCACGTCAATGGACTGTCCGATAAGATTACTCTTCTCCAGGGTAAGATGGAGGAAGTTAACCTTCCTTTCCCCAAGGTTGATATTATTATCTCCGAGTGGATGGGTTACTTCCTTCTGTACGAGTCCATGCTGGACACCGTGCTCTACGCCCGTGACACCTACCTCAACCCCGGTGGTCTGATCTTCCCCGATAAGGCCACTATGTACGTTGCTGGTATTGAGGATGGCGACTACAAGGATGACAAGATTGGATGTAAGCAATTATTTTACCTGGAACTTTTTTATTCTTGTTATTTTACTGACCAATCTCAGTCTGGGACAACGTCTACGGATTCGACTACAGCCCCATGAAGGAGATTGCTCTCAACGAGCCCCTCGTCGATACCGTCGAGATGAAGGCTCTTGTGACCGATCCCTGCCCGATCATCACCTTTGATCTGAACACCGTCACCACGGCCGATCTTGCCTTCAAGGTGCCTTATGCCCTCACTGCCAAGCGCCCCGACTTCATCCACGCCTTGATCGCCTGGTTCGATATTGAGTTCAGCGCCTGCCACAAGCCCATCCACTTCTCCACTGGTCCTCACGCCAAGTACACCCACTGGAAGCAGACCGTGTTCTACCTCCGTGATGTCCTTACCGTCGAGGAGGATGAGAAGGTTACCGGTTGGATTGAGAACCGCCCCAACGATAAGAACAAGCGTGACTTGGATATCGGCATCACGTACAAGTTCGAGACCCCCGATGCTACTCGCGCTGCTGAGGGTGGCTGCTTCTACCGCATGTAAGTTCTGGCATTTTGACTCGTTTTTTGAGATCATCATACTAATGCATCCCAGGTGTTAATTTTGTTCCACTTTTCTAATTTGATGTCATTGATTGGGATGTACAACTTCACGTTTGCACGATCTAAGTGAAATATTTTCGTCACGCAATGCATCCTGGCATGGGCATGTATGAAATTGCCCAAGGCGAATTGGACATCTGGTTTCGCCTTTGTTTATTTCGGCGTTTATTTCTTGGGAGGCAGGAAAAAAGGCATTTTGTGGCGCGAACGGAGGGATATCATTCTGAAGCTCCTCGAATTTCCAGGTAGATACCCGAGTCGATGCTTAGTCTAGCAAACTCCAACGCTCTTCTTCTGGACATGTTTTCCACGTAGACTTTAGACTTTTAATAGAATTAAGATCTGCAAGGGGAAATTGTGCCAAGGAGATGCCCTCGTCGGCAAAACCACGGCAACAAATAATTATCAGATCCTCGGCTCCTTGATAGCCCCCGCAATTACCGGAGCTACTTTTAATCTGCCAATTGCTACTTTGTTTTCTATATTTCCCCTACACCTGGCCCTTTTTTATATTATCTGATCCTACATTCATTACTCCCTTCATACTACCATCCCAATGTCGGCCCCTGGAGCTGGTCACGAATTCCCCGCCAAAGAGGTCTCTTGGCAGAAGCGTGATGTGCTATTGTTTGCCAATAGCATTGGTGTCAAGGCCGACGAGCTGCACTTCCTCTATGTAAGCCACAAGCCACATAGATACCAATCTAAATACCATAATCTAACTAGTATCCAGGAACTCCACCCGAGCTTCTCGGTCTTCCCAACCTATTCTCTCATCCTCCGTATGTTAAGCGCCTCGAGGGACTTTCGGGCAATTGCACTAACTCCAAAGCCAATAGCATTCAAGCTCACTGATCAAGAAGTGACTGATTTCTATGCCCGCCAGAAGGCAGTTCACATCCCAGGCGTCCCCGACCTGGACCACCGTCATGCTGTTGATGGTCAGCGTAAGATCACAATCCTGAAGCCGCTCCCTACCACTAGTGCAGGGCGCAAGTTTGAGCTGCGCAATAAGGTCATTGGTGTCTATGATAAAGGCAAGCCTGGTACTGTGATCGAAACCGAGCAGTCTATCGTGGATAAGGAGAGCGGCGAGGTGTACACCAAGGTCGTGAGTAGCGGTTTCTTGGTCGGACAGGGCGGCTGGGGTGGCCCGAAGGGTAAGATTATAGTTAATTTTCCGCCGTGAAGCATCAATTAACGCGTTCGAGCAGGACCTAGCACCGTCAACTATCCCCCACCGGAGGGCAAGGCCCCTGACGCCACCCATGTTGTTCAGAGCAACTTGGAGACGGCCCACCTTTACCGGTAAGTGTCCAGTGCATATCCCGTACAGAGACCAGCTCTATACAATTGAACAAAAGTGGATACTCGACACATCCGATGCTAACACCTTGACTAGTCTCAACGGTGACTACAACCCTCTCCACGCCACACCAGAGCCTGGCCAGAAGATGGGCTTCGGTGGTGTTATTATCCACGGTCTTTTCAGCTGGAATTCTGCTGCACATGGCATTCTGCGCGAACTGGGTGGTAGCAACCCTGCCAATATGAAGGAGTTCCAGGCCCGTTTTGCCTCACCCGTCCGGCCCGGCGATAAGCTTACCACTGAGATTTGGAGAATGGGCAATGTTCAGGATGGCTATGAGGAGATCCGATTTGTTACTAAGAACGATAAGGGTCGGGTTGTGTTGAGCAATGGGCGTTGTCTGTTGAAGGCGACAGGCGTGAAGAGCAAGCTGTGATTATGTCACCAAATCTCAGTTAGATTAGTTACGTATAACTAGTTTGCATTTCAAAATGCATATCCAGTAAATATTTCTTACCACCGAATGCCAACTTTGTAGGGAAACAAACTATCTATGCCAATATAGTTCCGTATACCACGCACGTGACTGTAACCTCGGTTGTCGGGTCCTCGAACTTGAAGCTCTTACAAACTACTACCCCGGATCTGTCCTTCCATACTATTTCCTTGTCCTTGACCTTAAAACCCCTGTTTATCCATATCGGCCATGATCTTCAGCTGGCGCACAGCACTCAGGCCGAGTGGGCTGTGGACTCGTACCGGGTAAGATCTCCTTTCATCTGTTATCAAACATTTAACGCTAAACCCTCTCGAATTAGACCCAAGAGCCTGAGGCCCCGCTATTCACCCGCTGGTCGTTTGGTATGGATTTAGTGCATGCTATACACTCAAATTAATCATAAAAAGACTAACTCGGCCTCCTTGTTCCGTTGCTGATAGACGACTGGCTACCGATATGTCACACCTTGCTCATCGAGATTGCTAAATACTATGATGAGCGTGGATGGTCATCAGGCTGCTACGTCCGGCTCCGATATAGTACAATTTCCAGCTAAACTCGAAAATGGTTCCAAATTCGAGTTTAGTTTGTAAGTTTGTTGCAACTCCAAAGAAGGTGAATAACGACTAACTTCACTTTTACAGCGGTCGTTTTTTCCTCAGGTTAGTGACCAAGACACACAACACCAGAAGCTTGGGCTATCATTGACAGCTTGATGCCTGCGACCAGAGAAAACTGCCAGTGTCCCACATGTATTCATCTAGATACGATGCAGAGGATAAGCGACACTTTCTCAGTAGGAAATCTCACTACTCCCTGCGACTGCACAGTTTCTGATACTATCCCCGCAGATTCCGCAGAATGTTAAGATAGAGTCAATCCAGCACAGTGACAGTATGGTCACAATCAAGTGTGAGAGATGACATGCATAGCCTTTGAGATTTTTACTATCAGTACTAACACCGCCACAGGGTCTGATAATCACATGGGACTTTATCCGCATGGTTGGCTTTATGGACACTCGCAGCGTATACCTAACCTCAAAAGCACTAAGTCGGAGTCATATCTCCAATCAGAACTGCATGGTCCCAGGTAAGTTACTCAAAGCCAAAGTCACGGAATGATGTTGATGCCATAGAAGGTACTTCAAGGAGCCAGATCAAAGTCCCAGAGTCAAATATGATGATGTTATGTCAGACGATGAATCTCTTCGTATTTGGCTAAGCCATATCGTAAGCCCTTCTGTCTTGACTTCTTGATCAAACTTGCTAAAACTCATGAAGTGGGAACATGGATTCTGTTTTGTAGACGGCGTTCCTATCAACCCAGAGGCGACTCAATTTCTCATCGAGCGAATTGCGTTCATCAGGAACACCCATTATGGTATGCACTGTAGATCTACAATTTACTAATGCATCATTCAGCTAACATAGCTTCAGGTGGCTTTTGGGACTTCACAGCCGATTTGACTTTCAAAGACACGGCATACACCAACGAATTCCTGGGTGCTCATACAGACAATACTTATTTCACAGATCCTGCAAGACTTCAGCTATTCCATCTGTTATCCCATACCGAAGGGTCTGGGGGAGAGAATCTGCTAGTTGATGGATTTGCAGCCGCAGCTCAGCTACACCGCGAGAAACCCGAGCATTATGCCTCATTGGTAAAACATAGGCAGCCGTGGCACGCAAGCGGGAATGAAGACATATGCATCCAACCATCCGCAATGGCACCGGTATTTTCGATCCACCCGGACTCGAATAAAATGTACCAGATCCGTTGGAACAACTATGATCGTGCACCAAAGCGCAATTGGTCGGTATCGGAACAGACTATGTGGTACAGCGCTGCGCGCCACTATAACGAGATCTTGCGGAGCAAAGAAATTTGGACGAAGCTAAAACCAGGATCGGCGCTCAGTAAGTCTTTGGTGCTAATTTGAAAACCACTTCGGCTTACATGTTTGTCTTAGTGTTCGATAACTGGAGAATGTTACATGGCCGCTCTGAGTTTACTGGAAAGAGACGAATGTGCGGTGGCTACGGTATTTACTACCTGATAACCAACCTTTCATGTTTTTTTCTGCTAACGAAGTACCAGTCAATAACGATGACTACATTTCTCGACTTCGTCTGCTCAAGTTCGGCCGGAAAGCAGTGCTAGACAACCTTGGCAACGTCAGAAGTCATCCCAATAATCCTTATTCTATCATCTAGAATGTGTGGTACCTGACACGAGATAAATCGACAAAAAATGCTCACATTATACAAGACAAAAACAATTTCAAAGTAGATAGAATCGAATCGCACTTGATTATAAACGTAGATCATATCACGTGATGCTCTATGGCTGACGTTGTTGGAGCTCGGCCACCAACAGCTCTTCCTCCCAGCAACCTTGTCTCATCCTCCCCCCATCCTTTTTCAATCTATCGACCTGCTGGCTTTTGATCTCCGAGATTTCTATTGATTTAATTCTATAATTCCCAATTTCTCGATTCCGCCATGTCGACTCTTGAGGACCTCGACGACCTTGAGCAGGAGCAGAGAGAGAAGAAGCAAGACCAGAACGATGGCGATGGCAAGAAATCCGAAGGCGACGGCGATGCCGATATGCAAGATGCCGACAAAAAAGACGAAGAAGAAGAGATGCTGGACGAGGATATCTTGAACTCAAGCACGACAGACATCGTTACGCGACGGCGGATGCTGGAGAACGAGATGCGAATCATGAAAAGCGAGTTCCAACGTTTGACACATGAGCAGAGCACAATGAGGGAGAAGGTGAAGGATAATCAAGAGAAGATTGAGAACAACAGGTGTGCTTTCACCGATCCCCGTATTCGTTGTTCTGCATGCCCGCGGAGCTTGGTTGCCGGCTTGCGGATCGGCGAAAAGACACTTTCCTTTCAACGGTCTACTGACATTCTTATCTGCGACTATCTAGACAGCTACCATACCTTGTTGGAAACGTCGTCGAGCTATTGGATCTTGATGTGGAGGCAGAGGCAGCAGAGGAAGGGGCTAATATCGACCTGGATGCCACCCGCGTAGGAAAATCCGCTGTCATCAAGACCTCCACCCGCCAGACAATCTTCCTTCCCCTCATTGGCCTGGTCGATCACGAAACGCTGAAGCCCGGTGACTTGATCGGTGTCAACAAGGACTCATATCTCATTCTGGACACACTACCTGCCGAGTATGACAACCGCGTCAAGGCAATGGAGGTCGACGAGAAGCCTACGGAGAAGTACACAGATATTGGTGGTCTGGATAAGCAGATCGAAGAGATTGTGGAAGCTATCGTATGGCCTATGAAGGAGGCAGAGCGCTTTAAGAAAATTGGCATCAAGGCCCCTAAGGGTGAGTTACTTTCCCTTTTCCCCTGTACTCCAAAGCTAACATGTTCATTTCTCTTCCGTAGGTGCTTTGATGTACGGACCCCCAGGTACCGGTAAGACGCTTCTGGCCCGTGCCTGTGCTGCCGAAACGAACGCCACATTCCTTAAGCTCGCCGGACCTCAACTCGTGCAGATGTTCATCGGAGATGGCGCCAAACTTGTGCGCGACTGCTTTGCCCTGGCCAAGGAGAAGGCGCCCTCTATCATCTTTATTGACGAGCTGGATGCCGTGGGTACCAAACGTTTCGACTCAGAGAAATCTGGAGATCGCGAAGTGCAGCGAACCATGCTGGAACTCCTGAACCAACTGGACGGCTTTGCCTCGGACGACCGCATCAAGGTCCTGGCGGCAACCAACCGTGTCGATGTGCTGGATCCTGCCCTTCTGCGTTCGGGTCGTCTGGATCGAAAGATCGAGTTCCCCCTGCCGAACGAGGAAGCCCGCGCCAACATCCTGCAAATTCACTCGCGCAAGATGTCCGTTGAGGATAGCGTCAACTGGGCCGAGTTGGCTCGCAGCACGGACGAGTTCGGTGGTGCCCAGCTCAAGGCTGTTTGTGTTGAGGCTGGTATGATTGCACTCCGGAAGGGTTTGAGCAAGATCGGCCATGAGAACTACGTCGATGCTATCGCCGAGGTCCAGGCTAAGAAGAAGGATACCAACATGGGCATCTATGTTTAGAGTAGACCGTCTTGCCTTTTATGTCCTGGTCCATACACGTTTTTCTCTGCTTTACTCTTTTTGACGTCTCGAGTCATCTCGTGTATGTATGCTCCCTCGGCTTGAATGGAAGCCGGTAATTCGTTATGCATGAATGGCGTAGACCTTTTATTACGATTTTCTTCATACATCTTCCAAGTAAATTCTATTTGATTATTTGCCATATGACGAATGTACTGTCTATATGGCGGAGTTGTAGTCGTAGTCAGAGATATTCAGATTCAAAAGTCCTACTTGATCACCGTGCATTGTAACGTATATCAATAACTGCTACTAGAATCAAGTATGCATAGTGAATACCACAACAGCCTAGAGAATCTCCAAGAGCCGAAAAAAAGATAAAAAGACACGCAAAGATGCAATGGTCATAAATCCATACCAACAACCGTGGCTTATCACACACTTCCACACAACTTCCACCATGTGTTTTAAATAAAAGGAACAGGAAAAAAATAACAGAGAAACTAAAAGAGTTAAGGACAAAGAAAGAAAGGTATTCTGATCAGAAAACCCCCAGTTCTAAGCCTTAATTCTTACCCTGGGTATCCTTAAGAGTAACAATGCGATTGAGCACCAACTTCTCATCAGTAGACTCGCGATCAACAGCAAAGTACGCAACACGCATACCCTGGAAGCGGATAGAGTGCTTATTCTCACCAGGCTCGGCAGCACCTTCCTCCTTAGGCCACGGCGCCGAGCGGGAGATATCCCGGAATCCAGTCTCGACCATAGCATCCTTGAAGATCTCCTCGGAGTCCGGGTTGATATCGGCGATGAAACCAGCCGGGTGGGCAGACGGATCCTCCGACTTGA